ATTAGAATTATACGTTTTTCATTTTTTCGTCCAATATCCGGTTTTTGATAGATTCACCCCACTGTGCGTCGGTAACTCAGATTTGTCGGTGGATATATTATCTATGATCTATGCATCTGTGAAATTATAAAATATAACAATAAATGTTGTATACCTGTAAATGCTCAACTGCAGGGGGAAATGGTAAATCGGATCGACATCGATCAGACGTCGATGGCGTCTTCAGCTTTCCCAGATCGAAATAACAAATCAGATCGACGTTGATTAGACGTCGATAGCATTTACAACTTCGATCGATTATATATAGGTTTAAATTGAAATATGGAATATTAAAAAATTAAACGGGTCTTAATTCCTATCTGTCATAAATAAACGGAGGATTTTACCTGCTTTTGGTTACAAATAAACTCATTCATATTTTTCGACACGTATAAAATTAGAAAAATTATGTACATACATGCAAGCATTATTTACTCACGCTGTATTTTGTCCATCTTGTATATATGTATATGAAAAATTATATATATGCTTTGAAACTTTGGGAATTATTTCAAGGTATTCTATCTTTTTTCAAGTATTCCGTCTCCCAAAGTTTTTAATTTATTATACAATATTAAGTAACTCAGAGATTCGCAGAATATTTATTTCTCTATATTGTACTCTTAATCTAGGAGTGATGCTACTAAAATTTCCAAACAGCGATTTATCAGAAGCTTTAAATGCAGTCAGAAGTTGGCTACGAAATGCTACTGGGCGTAAACAAGATTAAAATGTAAAATTGTTTAAGATTTCCTTTTATATGCAATTTTTGAAGCCTAATATTATTGGTGTTTTTTTTTGCTTTATTTTATTGCACTAGAGTAACTATTATATAGAAAGTTTGTCAGATTCAATTTTAAGTTTATATATATAATGTACGTATATATGTGTGTGTATACCCTGGCGGAAAAAATTTCTATGAATAACTACAAAATTTAAGTAGAAATAGAAATTTGTACATTTTTGTTGAAATATTTAATTTTTTGTGAAAATAGTTATTTTTTTGTAGAAATATCTACGAAATAGTACCACAAATTACAATGTTCTCAAATCAAGAAATTATTGCAAGTAGTATTTTATGAAAAACTGCAATTTTATAAAAAATAGTACAAAGATCTACAAATTTTAACAATTTAAAAACAAATAAAATCTTAAAAAATTAAAACATTTGCTTACTTGTAGAATGCTACAATTATTTATAAATGACTATAGAAATCTACCACAATTTACATATCGTAAAACTATACAAATTAGAATCTAATCCAGTTTTTTGTTTCTCATAAAATACTACAATTTTGTATGAATAGTAACAAATATCGATTTGTTTGTACAGCTCAAAAATTTATTACAATTATGGCTAATTAAAATTTGTAATTTTTAGTTAAATGTTACAAGTTTTTACACAAATCTTCCAAAATTCATCTATTATTAATAACTTCTTAATTCGGAGAGGTCACAATACTTATGTTTTTATTTTCGTATAGTCTAATAGAAAAATACATAAATGTTCAATTTTTTACCTACATAAATTTCTGATTCGTGAATGGTTGTAATTTTGCATACAATACTACAAGGTTCTACAGAAAACGACAAAATCCTTAAGCCTTTTACAACTCGTGAAGCGATTGTATTTTGTGTGTCAGGAGTTAGACAGTCGGATTCCCCTAGTCCGTGCCAGTTCTGAGCTGAGCGTTGAATGGCGGCCGAAGAGGACGACCACGACGGCTCGCGCCGCCACGGAAGCCTTGCAGCAAGGAAGATCCGCGGGAGGCCAAGGCACGGGACCGAGCTCGGATCCCCAGGACCGGTGCGAGAACGCCGATCGGTTCACCTCGCCCAGGCCCGGCACGTCAGCCAAACCCGCTTCCCGACCAAGCCCGACACGCCCCGCTCCTCAGAGCCAATCCTTATTCCGAAGTTACGGATCCAATTTGCCGACTTCCCTTACCTACATTAGTCTATCGACTAGAGGCTCTTTACCTTGGAGACCTGCTGCGGATATGGGTACGAACCGGCGCGACACCTCCACGTGGCCCTCTTCTGGATTTTCAAGGTCCGAGGGGAAGATCCGGACACCGCCGCAACTGCGGTGCTCTTCGCGTTCCAAACAGAAATACAGCATACAGCATACAGAAAAGATACAGTTTTTTATGCAATCGATCAAAGACAAATCGCAAGGAAAAGACAAAAAGAGAACATTATAAGAAAGAAAGAGAGAGAGAGAGAGAGAGAAAGAAAAAAGGTATGTATCTTTTCTGTATGCTAACTCTTGACACACAAAATACAATCGCTTTCAATAATATTTATATTTTTTAAGTAATAGTAAATAAATGTAATCGGTATTAAAAAATTTTCCAATTTTTCGGAAATTAATTGACCGAATCGCAAACAATTGTATATGAAGTAGAGGTAGAATTTTCTGGGGAGTGCTATAAAATGTATTATTTTTTGTTACCGATCTTTTTGCAAACCGGTTACAAAATTTTTCCAATTTTTCGGGAAATAATTGAATCTTAAAGAATTACATTATGAAATAAAGGTAAAATTTCCCCGAGATTGCTATAAAGTGTACAATTTTTTGTCACCGATTTTTTGGGGAACCGGTTACAAATTTGTTCCAATTTTTCGGGAATTAATTGACCAAATCTTAAAAAATTATATATGAAATAGGAGTCGTGTCACAATTTTTTTAATTTTTGGAGGATAAGTTTAATTTTTTATTAATGGATAATTTTTTATTAATGAATTGATTTTTTTGAAACCGGTTACGAAGTTTTTTCAATTTTTCTAAAAAAGTTTCCGATTTTTGTTTAAAAAAATGTACGTGATTGTTCTAATTTTTTCAAATTTTGATATATTAGTTGAATTTTTTTAGAGATAATTTTTTGTTTTTTTCTTAAAAACAATGCCCAAATTTTTATAATTTTATAATTAAAATTTTATAATTTTTCGGAGATGGCAAAGACGTGTATAATTTTTCATAATCGATTTTTTGAAAACCGGCTTCAAAATTTTTTAATTTTTTGGGGATGGCTACAATGAGGTTATAGAAAAATTGCTAATAATAAAAGGGTTTCCAATTTTTGCTCCAAATTCCGTAAATTTTGAGATATCAAGCTGAATTTTTTTTATATATAATTTTTATATATAATTTTTATATATAATTTTTATATATAATTTTTTGTTACCGATTTTTGTGGAAACCGGTTACAAAATTTTTTAAATTTCTCGGGAGTTAATTGATCGAATTTCAAAGAATTGTATATGAAATAAAGGTAGAATTTTCCGGGGTTTGCTATAAAGTGTATAATTTTTTGTTACCAATTTTTTGGGAAACCGGTTACGAAATTTTTTTAAATTTTCGGGAATTAAAAAAGAATTCGAAGATGTAGGTTAGAATTTGAGGAGAAAGAATATCAAAGGTGCTCCTTATTAATGAGTGAGTTTTGGGAGAGGGGAATAGATTTTGAGCCCGCGCGAAGCGCGGGCAAAAAATCTAGTTAAAGAATACTTTATTATAGTATAAACCTAGTGATTTAATCAGAAAAATTTCTAAGTTTCGAAAGATAAAATTCTTTTTCGTAAACCGGACAATTTTATCAGAGTTCTGGGTAGCATTTCACGAGTTCTATCAAAAATTATTAATGTTTGAAGCGCTACGACTGATATATAAAAAGTTCTCGCGATTTTTCGTACAATCAAAATTTTTTTTTAAAGTTCTGGGAGTTCTTCTGTAAGTTCTGGGTAGCACCTTACGAGTTCTACCAAAAATTAAATGTTTGAAGCGTTACGATATATAAAAAGTTCTCGATATATTCCGTTTTTGAGTAAAATAAAAAAAAAATTTTTTTAAGTTCTGGGAGTTCTGTTGAGAGTTCTGGGTAGCACCTCAAGAAATCCTAATGGCAAAATTAAATATTTTTAATACTTTTATTGTTATCGCTGATTTAGTGATTTCATTTTGTGAAGTTAGCACCCCCAAGATTCATCAACAGTTCTTTTAGCTTTATTCGCTAGAACTATTTATAATATTAATAAGGAACTCTAGAACTCTTCGGGGTACATTCAGAACTTGAAAAAAAAAATGTTTTTTTGAAAGATGGGGTGCTAACTTCACAGAGGTAATGTAGTACGAATGAATTATAAGTTTAACCCCGTTTACGCAGAGAAATTATCGTAAGTTAATTACTACAGAAGAAACGTTCGTGCAAACATATAGTAATAATTAATTGTTTTATGCCATTGAGGTTATTCGATTTTGATTCTGGAAACTGCATATATGTAAATTTTAATAAGGGTTAAAAAAATCTAACTCTTTTATATCATATATTCAATAAAAATTATTCGCCAGTGATGAAATAATTCGGTATAGTTAAACGGCCTGACTGGCAAGTTTTATTAGGTATATCACAACGACGTTTCGACCACCATTTTGGGTCCTTTTCAAGTTATTTTAACTTTAATTATTAAATTTCTTATATATTCTTTTATTCTTTCATTCCAGCATTGTTAAAATAACTTGAAAAGGACCCAAAATAGTTTAGGCCGTTTAACTATACCGAATCTTTTATATCATTATAAAGCCAATGGCACACAATACCATGTTTACATGTAAAAAAATAAAAAGGATTACCTTTGATTTAAATAACGTATAGTTTTCAACGTGATTGACGTGAGATCCCAGTCTGCCCGAGTAAGGCCAGTTTTCACACGCAATGATTAGTGGCGCCATCAAGTGACTGGCATTCATTGGCGCCAGAAACCGACTGACAAACTCACAAGTATTTACACATGTGTACAGTGATTGGCGTATAATATGGAAAATATACCTCGATATATTTAGCAGACAAATTTGATATTTCTTATTATTAATTATTTTAATAGTTTGGGAATTATTTGGGCAAGTTTAGGAATATAGTTTCATAGTTTAGGAAATAATAGTTTATTTATAATTAATAAAAATTAATTGAATGTATAGTTAGCAGACATAATTTTAAAAACAATTTTTTTCTTTTCAAATCAACGTGAAATCATTTGGGAAACACGTCTGTAATGTTTTAAACATTTGGGAAATAATGATTTTATCTGAAAATCAAGTTACATGTCACATGTGCGATAGCTGGACAGTTTTACCATGGTTTGTGAGTCATCCAATCACAGCTGAGAATGTGGAAAGTGCTGCTAAAGCATAAAAGAAACGTTCACTTTCCTAAAATGGATTCATTATTAGCGCTAATTGTTGCATTTTCTTGGTATGTATAGGTAAAGTTAATTATATTATTTTAGAACTCCACAAAAGAAATATGTAATGCGAAATGTATCATTACGCATAACATATTTGTAATTTGAAATGTATAATTTTTGTATCATTTTCTGTTTAGGTTATTATGCTACATGTAATGCTGAAAGCAGCATATATGCTCAGCAAAGTCCAACCCCACGTCCGTGCAAAATAACGTGAGCCACGTGCTGAGCGGGCAACATCTTAGGTGGCTAACGGGGCAATGGCAAATCCTCCTGGAGTAAAAATGAAAAATATCTAAGGTAATAAAACTTTTATGACACTTAATAAGTATTATACTATTTAACTCCGAGTCTAATCAACAACAAATCTCAATTTTTTTAGGGCGAAATTGGATATCGGCTTACTAGCTATGATTTTAAGTTCTGTCGAGACTGGAAATGACACAGAGGCAATCCGCCCATTTATAGAGAATATCCATCAAACTCTGTCCGAATTTGTTAGTATTTGTCCCTTTGAAGCAGCTCGGGATGACGTCTATTAAGCTGACACAGCCAATTCA